GGTTGCTGGAAGATTTTGAAGAATGCGCAGCTGTTCCACCATGCTTGGGACACTGATGTACATTTGAGAGGAATGGGGAAGGGATCCCAGGAAAAGGCCCTTCCCTGAGGTTAGGAGCTGGTTCTCTTGTGCAGAGTCACATCCAAGGGTAGATGAACAAAGTTCAGGCCAGGTTAGAAATGGTGGGACACCCCAGGGACCCGCTGTGGAGGGTTGAACACTTGGTTGCTCTTCCCTAGAATACAGGGGAGTCATGTCTTGTGCACAGCTTCAAGCTGTCCAGTCTTATATTCTAATTCCCTTGAATTACCTCAATCCTTTATCAGACCTGTTACCTAGTAAGCCCTGATGTGGCAAACAAGAGAGTAGGTGGATAGGAAGGGTTTGGACAGCCACATCAGCTTCTTCCTGGGGACTGTTGTGGGGGGCAGCATTCTCTATAGGAAGATGGTAGTTTTGGGTCTGGAGCTAAGGTGCAAGGTGGGTTATGGCCACGCTGGGAGCAAAGGGAGTCACTGGACATGGAGGAAGAATTTCTGGAGGAATTGAAAGCAGAACTTCCACATCTTCCATATTTTCTAGCAGAAGCCAGCCCCTGGAAAGGGTGGTGGTTGTATGCTTGGATTACAGTTGTACATTAAAAAAGATTCAAGGATTAAGACATTTAAATTAATCAAAGATTAATTCAGGTAATATCTGGTAGGCAATTATCAGTGGGTTTTAATTTTTTTCTATGTTTTCTTTGGCCCTGTTCAAGAAGAAAGAAAACACTTGTTAAAACGGTAAGGAAGACTTCAAGACCGGTCCAAAAGGGTATTGCATTAGGGGAGAGAGATGGAGCTCAACAAGGAAAAGTGGAGATTTATAGCCAAGGAAAGGTGAGGGTCACTGGATGGAAAATTACATCAAGGGTAGGTAGATTCTTGCTAAACTGACCAAACAGGATTCTTGCTAAATGCAGGTCACAGTGATCAGATATCAAGGGTAAGAGGATTCTCACTAAACTGACTTGGCAGGATTCTTGCCACAACTGGACTAGGCAGGCTGAAGATAGTTCCCAAAGGTGAGGCTTAACCAAGATGAGGACTCAGAGGAGCTGTCTCAAGTTTGGTTAAGAAGAGTGTCTTTGTAACTCCATATGACTACAAATATATAACCATTTAAAATTAGAAATGAAAATTGATAAAATTTCTTTTTAATAATAAAACTATCCTCTGAAGAGATATGACAACTGAATGCAATGTGAAATACTGGATTGGATCCTGACCAGAATTTATTTATTTTTCATTTCTGCTGTTAGTGAGACACCTGGCAAAATCTAAATATGGTTTGGTTTAGATAATGTCAGTTTCCTGATTTTGAATATTATGTAAGAGAATGTCTTCATTGTTAGAAAACACTCAAGAATGTATTAGTAAAGGAGCATCATGTCTTCAACTTACTCTCAAATGACTTAGGAAAAAAACAGTATGTATATACATAGCAAGAGAGTAGAATAAAGCAAACATGGGAAGTATTCACATTTGGGGAATCTGGGTGAAAGTATATGGGAATTCTTTAAAGTGTTTAACTTTTCTGAAAAACTGACATCATTTCCAAATAACAGTTAAGAAAACAAAAAACAGAAAAGAGGAAAATAAGCCATCCATGCTCACAGGACTGAATCAAATGCCACCTTTTTCAGCAAGTTGCTCTCAATGGAGATAGTGCCTTGCCCACCCAGCCTCGTGGTAACCCAGAGCATTGTTTTCTTCCAATTCTCTTCAGTCTTGATTTCCTCAAAAGCCTCTCTTTTCTCTCCTCTAGAGGCAGCACTGCAGAATAGGATGCTGGTGAAGTTCCAAATTCACAAACCTGGGTTGCAGTGCTGCCTCTGCCTCATTCTAGTTGTGGGACCTTGGTCCCTAACTCTGTGTTGACATCAGACTTCTTGTCTATAAATGGTCATAACCAAATGTATTGCTCGTAGTTGTCATGAGGAGCATTTAACAACGCATGCCATGAGTTCTGAGACTAGAGGGAGTTCTGTACGTGATAATTCCCTTCTTTTCTCTTCTCTTGGGCGATAGGTAAATGTTTGAACACACTTCTCTGATAGTTTCTATAAAATTTAGTCTAAAAACAAATATTGACAATTTATAATGTACTCTACAGTGCTCGACACACAGTAGCCCCTTAATGAGTGTTGTTCACATGGCAGCACTTACCCACATCTTCTCTCATCTGGTCATCTCAGCAACTCTATGGGGGTAGAAAAAGGTCTCTTTTTATAGATTTGGAAATAGAGGCACTGAGGATACGAATCTAGGTTAAATGGCTGATAAGTAAGAGTCTTGGCAGGACCCAGTAAATCCTATTATTTAGGGCACAGTTCACTATTGCTCTTATATACAAACAAGTAAAATTGCAAATGAGTTTTACAAAGTTCTGTGGTTATCACACATACTCATGCTTTTGTTCATTTGGTTTAATACTGTGATGAGCACCTATTAGGTGCTGAGCTTGTGTTAGGCACTGAGGATACCAAGATAGGTAAGGAGCTCAAAGACTTGAGGAAAGAAAACTGAATAAAACTATAAATGCAGTGTAATAATTACTTTCTTTAAAAAAAATCTATCATATCACTAAAGCAGACCATTCTAGTCCTGATTGCTCTTAAATTTATAAAAGTTTTGCCTGTGGTGATGAGCTTCAGTAATTCTGGGGCTCACTGTCCAGAACAGGGAACCTTCCTCCCAGCATGGTATGGAAAGCCATTCATTGATCTACAGCCACAGGTCATCGGCACTGAGCCAACTGTATCCAGAGAAGGAAGGAGAACCTTTCTGATTGAGAGGCATTTCTAATTTCGTACCTTTATTCCCTTTTCTTAAATGAAACACCCTTTTCCTGGCTGCAGCCACCCTCACCTCCAGGGCTGCATTCCTCTCAACTGCAAGTGTCTTGCCCCTCCTGGCTTGGATTCTCCAGCTACCTCCTAAATGCAGCCCCAGGCTTCTTGCTTAGAAGCATGGCCATATCAGTCAGGTGGGCACTATTCCAAATTGCTGAAGACCCTTTAATGAAAGGAAACAGGACGGACAACCTAATTTGGGAGAGTAGTGGCTCTCAGGGGTGTTTAAAGCAAGGATATTATGTTGCCACTGGAAACTCTAGCAACTTGGAAGCCTGACATCCTGAATCTGTGAATCTGTTTCTGGGACAGACTTCTCTAGACATCTATGAAACTGAACAGTGTGGGTAAGTTGGTTGTTCAAACTGCTGAATGAATGATACTTACTAGGAAAAGCCAGGCCCCTCTGGTAAAAGAAACATGCTGTACGCAACCTCATGTTCCAGATCCCCCTTTCGTGTTTGTGCCTGCCTAGCTTTCCACTGTCACACGCTATTCCAAAGCGGTTTCCCTTGTCTTCACTGTCTCAGTGTGGCGTCTTGCGATGTGTATTTATTACATGAACGAGTGAAACAATAAAAATCCCAAAGATCAATACTAGGAAGTGCCAAGCAAAAGGTCCACAAATTTTGTGTGTGTGTGAATTCTGTAAAGGATGCCATCGAGTATCTTCAACATTAAAAGGCAATCCCAAGATAGCAGAAGCCCCACTATCCTCAACGGCCAGAATAGGGACAGGAGGGAGGGATTCGCTTTTTCTCTTGTCCTGGGCGCAGCGCGGCTCAAGTTAAGCGCAGTCTCTGTAGGAGTCTAAGGAAAGGAAACTCCGGCGTCTGAGGGAGAAGCCCCCGAGAGGACCCATCGATATCCGAGGGTACAGTCCTAGATGTTGCGTCAGGGCAGGTTGCAAAAAGGTAGAGGGAAAAGCCGGCTGTGTGCCCGGATGCTGGTGGCCAGAATGTCTGTCCGAGCGAAGCCTCCTCCGCCACCGCTCGCGCCTCCCTCCCAGGACGAGATCCACCTTCTCTTCCCTCCGATGGGCCCTTAGCGCTGTCCGTCACCGCTCGGCGCAGCGCCTTCATTCCACCTAGACTCTCCCACCGGTACAGTATCCCCTGGGGCGGGGCTTGGCTGGACGGGGCGGAGCCAAGCCCTCCCAGGGCCCGCCCCTTGGCTGCGTAGCGGGATAATTGGATGCATCAGAAGGCCTTCTAAGGCTGTCCAGGGGAGTGACGGGTGGCCCGTACTGGTCCCCAGCGCGTGGGGGTGCGGTGTGCGGGGGTCCCTAGACCGCGAGGGGCGGAGGAAGCTGAGCCCGAGCGGCTTCTAGAGTGAGGTTGCCCTCAGGAATCTGGGTGCTCTGGAATGCTGCAAGCCTGTGGTTTCTCGTGTCGGAGAGGCGTCTTTCCGAGCTCGCTGCCATCCCGAGAGCATTTGGGAAACTTCTCGTCCCCACTCCTTGCTCCTTACTTTTGGGTGGGAAAGCAGTTGCTGAGTTGTTTTATTTCCTCCCTCAATCGGACTTTGTAAAAATAGCCGTGTGCTGGGGCTACTGAGCCAAGCTCTGCCTCACCGCTGCCCTAGACCGGGTGTGGACCTAAAAATACCCGGCGGTCGGGAGCCTGTGCTCCGGGTGCGGGCGGGTCGGGCCGGGCCGCAGAGGGCGTCTGGAGACCGGAGAAACGGCCACCGCCTGGCCCCTCGCCTCGGCCGGGGCTGTCCCTTTAAATCCTGGAGGAGGCAAACAGAAAAAAGGAAAGAAAGAAAAAAGCCCTGAGCGGATGGTGGCTCTGCCCGGCCCCCCACTCCGCCCCCGCGCCGGGTCCTGACAGCCGCCCGCCGCCTCCGCGGGTCCTGAGCGCCCCCCGCGCAGCGCCGCCCAACGCCACAGTTACTGTCAAAATAGAAATTAAGCTGAGCCGACCAGGACGTTGAGACGCAGCAAGTGCATGTGTGGCAGGGCGGGGAGGGGGCGCCGAGGAGGGGGCGGGCGCGAGGGAGAGGCGACCGGAGACATCCGGGCCCTTTAGCCCAGTGCGCCCCCCGAGCGGGTGGCGCGGGCAGCGCGGGCGCCGGCCGCGGGGCGCGGGGCTGACAGCCGCGGCGCGGGAGGCGGGGCGCGAGGAGGGCGGAGGCGCGGCGCGGGGAGGAGTTGCCCGCGCGAGCGCTGCCGCCGCTCTGCCCTACACCGGCCGGCGCAGCCCCGCCACGAGACTCTGACAGCCGCGCGGCCCGGGCTGCTCGGGAGCACAGGGACCGACGGACCGCGTCGGTGGCGGCGGAGGAGGACGCGAGGACCGCGGCCCCGCGCCAAGTGCGGGAGGTGCGCAGCGCTGGCGGCGCGCAGAGGTGAGTGGCTTCGCGCGCCGGGCTCGGGCACCGGCGGCGAGGGTCACGGTCTCTCCGGCACCTCGGCTGCCGAGGCGGGTCAGGGGGTCGCGGGGCTCCTGGAGGTTGACTCTGCATCGCAAACGCCGGAAAGCGGCCTCGGGGGCTGTTGCTAGGAGGCCGGCGGTCTGCACGCCCCGGGGCGCCGGCGGGGGCAGGGGTGCCCCCAGCGCGGCGGGCAGGAGGAGGGGGGCTGCGGTGGCTATTCAGGGGCTCCGTGCGGCAGCCATGCAACGGGAGGAGGCGGGAGGAGGGGGGATGGAGGGAGGAAGGAGGGGAGAGCCAGCGGAGAGAGAGCCAGCGAGCGGGCTCTGCGCCTCCTGGCTGGCACCGCGGTCCCGAGCAAAGTGGTTCGTGGGGCTAGAAGGGAACTTCTGCGGGCTCGTGCGGCCCCAGGCTCTGCGGCGCCTCCCGGCTCGGCCCGGGCGGACCTGTAGGCAGCCACAGGTGGTTTCTGCCAAAACTTCGACCGCACTTCTGCTAAAAGGCGCGGGAGCATTTTGGAGAGTGGCTGTTCCCTGAGACTTTGGCATCCGCACCCCACACTGTCTTATCTTGAAAATTAGGGTCTGGAAAGCCTGGGATCCTGCATCTCGCGACGCGGCTGCCTCGTGACGTGGCGGTCCCTGCCCGAGGTGGCGCTCTTGCAGGATTCACGCTGTTATCCAGTCGGGAAGTTTCGGGAAATGGACTCACACAGAAAGCACCTCCGTGTCTTAGGGAAGTTAAGCTGAGGCCGCTGGTACTTGTCGCTCGCCCCTGGCAGAGTAGGGTCTCTTCCCAGGACCCGTGTACGTCTTCGCTCAGGGTGTGCGCATCTCTTGCTTCCTTCAAAGCTAATTATCTCTGGCTGCTGTGCCTCTTTGTTATTCGGGCTACTTGTCTGATTTCATTAGGAGGAGGGCCAGGTGGAGCCAAAGAAATGAGAAGCGGCAACAACTCTCGCTTCCTATGAAACAGGGCGTGGAGTCTGGTACCCAAGCCTAGGCTGCCCAGGGTTCAGGGCCGAGGAGAGCCAGGAGTCGGTGGCGTGTGCTGTCTGCTTGTGGAGTTATGCTGGACCATTTGCACGGCTACGGCTGGGATTTCTGGGGCCTTTGGACAGAAACAGGGATGAGGATGGAAAAGGAAGACCGCTCAGAAGCTGTGATCAGCTCTGGTAGAGAGTCTCCAAGAAGTCCAGTGGTTTGGCCCGCGTTCCTTGTTGGCTTAGGTTGATGAATCCCCCGCAGCAAGGTTAGAACCACCCAGGTAGGTCCCTACTGGGCTGAAAGAAATCATTATCCGGGAGTGGGTCCGATACCAGCTGTTTCAAGTATGAACTGCATGAGAGTTGGAAACACTCTCTGACTAGTCCTGTTCCCATCTTGGTTTCTGAAACTCCAACAAGTACTTGAGCAGAAAGCGTGTCGTTTTCTTTAAAGAAGATTACAGAGTTTTGGAGTTGAAAGATGTCCTAGAGATACTAGAAGTGCTTATTTTACAGACGAGCAGACTTGGGTCCTAGGAAGCAGTGATCTGCCACAGTGGTTAGAGGCCCTGGGAGACTAGAAATGACATCAGCCTCCCAGGCCAGGGTGGATGGAGGTCCCTCACTGAGACCCTGTAGGGCCTGAGATCAGAAATGCCACCCCCACACCCCAAGCCCAACATGGGCTCATTATCTGGTACTTTCTACATCCGTGCTTGCCAGCTAATGTGATATATTTCCTGTCCTCTGCCCTTGGTTTAAAAAAATCAGGACTGTCACTGCAGATTCCAGTTTGATACTATTCCAATTTGTTCCTACTCTTTTCTCACCTCAAATTCCTCAAAATCCCTTTGTAACAGTGTGGCTTGATTAGCCAAGATGAATTTGCAGCCTGTCTCACTGTGAAGCACCCACTTTCCATAGAATGCCAGAACTGTTTTCCTGGTAATTAAGTTTTACAGATATTTTTGAAAGGGAGCCCAATTCTGGATCAATTACACTTGGACACAAATGCTATGCTGTTGTGGCTACCAAATGAGAAAGATGAGCAATTATCTGGGGGTGTTGGAATAAATGTTGTTATGAGTATTTGACACAGCTATTAGCCATCAATGAGTGGGTTTTCAGTAAATGTGTTTCACGCTCTCTTTATTGAGCAAACAAAGTGTCTTAATTAAAAAGAACTGGGAGTTAGCCACTTAGATTTTAGCCACTTGTTTCTTACCAGTGTGTATGGATGGGAAGAATTCAAATGTAAACAGAATGATTGTTGAGAGAACTTCTTTTCCCAAAAGTCAAATATTTTAGGGCAGTGTTTATTCCCCAGTCTGTAATGTCATGTACAGTCTAGCATAACCATATTAAATTGAAATAGGTCTGGGTGTGGTATGTGTCAATCTGTATTATCAGAAATGACTTGTAAGAGAATATTTTGTAAGCTTTACTGCTTTCAAGGGCATGCAGTGTCAAGAATTCAAGGCTAATGCAGTGTTACCAAGTAGAATTCTTCTGCTCTCATGAAGAGATAAGAATCAATGTTCCACAGCTGTGCTTGGGGCTTCTGTAGAGGAAAGGAAGAGGCTGGTATCATAATGATAATACAAAGTTACATTTTGACTGAGACTTTCCACTTTCACTGCAAGCTAATCTCACTGGCATCACCAAGTGGTCCAGAGTGCAGCTATTTGTCCATCTTATGGATGTGGAAACAGAGGCACAGAGCGGCAAGAGTGTTATTCCTATTGTTTCATTCACTGTATTAACATACCCTGAGCATGCAACTCAGGGTTTCTGAGCTGACCACGGTGTAAAAAGCCTCCTAATAATATTGTCCTTGCCAATATACAGCATTGCAACTTGTATACAAAGATCTGTAGAGGTGTGGTACGGTTACAGTTACAGTTCATGGGAGGCCACTCACTCTGATGGGGGCCTGAAGGGCTCTCTTTCCCACCCCCACGACGGGTGAGTAGTTTTCCTGCTCTTGTAGCAGGCTGTGGGAACTTGGATGAGGAGGGACCGTCTGACTGAGGCTGGGTTGGGGGTGTGGGATCTGCGCCTGCGCAGGGCTGAAGGAGCCTAGGCTATTTATAACCCCTCCTTTCCTCCTGGGAAGAAGAGACTCAAGAGTCTGGAACCATCCTCAGGGCTGCGGACTTCTCCCCAGGGTGGCTGTGCCCCACCGGAAGAAAACCTGCAGCCAACCTCATGATGGGTGTTGCAGGGAACCCTGACCGAGTGGAGGGGTCCTGCAAGGCTTCTTGGAATTTCAGCTGTTTGGGGAGATGTAGGTGACAAGGATTTCCTTGAGTCAGTGCGTGTACTTTTTCTCAGGCCCAGCAACCCCACCTTGTGCAAAATGAGACACACCCCAGAAATCTCACAGGACAGGACTGAAGTAGTGGTCACTTGCTTTTCTGAATAATGACCACAATGATTTTTATGCAGGAGAAGATTCCGAAAGTGATGTTGTGAGATCAGTTCCCTCTGACTGTGAGCGGTCATATTGCTGTGTGGTGCTGGTTGAGGACACGTGTGGTATGCACCCAGAGTGCTTGCGCTCTTTCCCCACCTCTAGCCCCCACCCGTCCCTGATGGTCCCTCTCGCCCTCCCACTCTTCAAGCCAATACCAAAGTCCTCCCTTATGTTTGAATAAACAGTACCTGCCATCCCACTGGTTACGACTTCATTTGTGAGACCCAACATATTTTCTCCTTGGATTGGTGGAGGGAGAAGTGAGGATGGGGGTGCAGGAAGTAGGCAAGACCCTGAGCTTGTCTCTCTCTTTCACTTCTTGGAGTGAGTTAACCCACCCGTCAGAGCCATTCCAGGGGCTCAGAGCAGGTTTTACCAGAGAGAGAAGACTTCAGTGGGAGGCCCTGCCTAGTGAGGTGGGTGCTGGGCAGCTCCTGGCCCAGGGTGGCGCCTGGCGCACCTGGCCCGGGCATCACACACTGCAGTGTTTGTGGGCAGAGCTTGTGTGTTGCTCATCTTCATATCCTTAGCACCCAGCCTGAGGCCTGGGCATAGAAAATGTTTACAGAGCCAAGGCTGAGGGGTCACTGGTGGTTGGCAGTCAGGGTGGCTTCCCTGCATCAGCGGTGCTCCTTGGCCCTTGGAGGTGGTGTCTGGAGGGCAAGGATGCAGAAGGAGAGTGTGGATGAGAAGAGATGGGGTTCTGGAGGCATTTTGAAAGCCCTTGGGCCAAGCTGGTGGGCCACTGTACACCACCAGAGGTTGCTGGGAGTACCCAGTCCCTGATGCAGTGGACAGTTAGGAAGTCCTTTTCTCCTAGCTGGCAGGGTGCAATCTGACCTTGCAGAGCATGAGAGTGAGTTTCCTTTAGTAAGTCAGGAGGCTTCTTCTTCCCCTACCCTCCTGGGGGCCCTCCAGAGTCTGGCCCATCCGTGCCTCTCTGCCTACCCCCTACTCCCTCTACTGCACCCGCCCAGATCCTTTTTGTTCCTTGAACACATCAAACTCATGTGTTTCCCCTTGGCTGTTCTCCTTGTCTGGGATGCCCTCCCCTCAGATCTTGCCCCAGCTGGCTTCTCATCATTTAGGTGTCCACTGACCCAGCATTCTGTAATGCATCCTCCTAGCACCCAGCTGTCACTGGGGTATGAGCTTGATTCTCCTCTTATTTATTTCTTGTCTCTCCAACTAGAATGTAAGCTCAACAAGTAAGGCAGGAACCTTGTTTGTTTTGCTCCTCATTGTATCCTCAGCACTAGAACATTGCCTGGCATCTAGTGGCACCTAAGGAGATTGATGGTGAATGGCTGTGCCAGGGAGCACAAGGAGGTGTATGAAGATGAATCAGCCAGGGCCCTGCCCTTGGATCTCTTCAGCCTAGAGGCAGAAATAAAGCTTGTTCATACGTCCTCTGATATGTGGCATATTAGAGGCATAGCCTGGGAGAGCCATAGTCAAGCAGTGTTAGCCCTGATTCCATGAGGCTGGTCGATTTAGGCAGAGGGGTGGTGTTTC